GTCATGAGCATATGGTAAGAATCCCTTAAGAAGTTGGAATTCAACTAAAGATATTTAGATCAGTATTTAGATAACGTCTAAAACTGCAACGACAGTGTTGCTAGGAGCAGGGCGTTTTGATCAACAGCACAGTAAAAAGCTGGTAAGTGGAGGAGGGGGTGAACAGAAAGCAATAATGCGAAAGAATGAAAATATACCAAAAATGAACTATATACTTTCTGTGGGTAGCAATGGGATGCTTTATTTGTCTAAAACCTAGATATTAATCGAAGCCGAAATACTGAAACTTTCTAACCTGACACATTCATAGGTATATCCAACCAAATCGGAATGAAGATGCCAATCAACAGGTATATAGGCGTCAGAACGATAATCCCGGAATCCTGCTGGTCAAGAAACTTCGAATAGACACAGCATAGCTGAAAACCGATGCTTGAAATTTGCAAACTTCGAATAAGCTGTAAGAAAAACAGGTACAGTGAAGCGCTGAACGGAATGCCAAACGAAAGACGAACTTCGACTATCAGCAACACACACAATGTCACAGTACTGCAGACGAATGTAAGGACCGGGCAGTACAGAAGGCCGGACAACAACACAAGACTAATGGTGACGTGGAAGTACTTTCGGTGGATCGTCGTAACGCCAGAGATCTCTGAAGCACTGATCGCAAATGCTACGCTGCACGCTACACAAAGGGCCCAAAACAGCAAAACGGTAACCTAAAAATCACCGGCTATTAATTTAGCATTAAACACAACGTCAGAGTAACGCACGTTTCGGATGTCAAAGACGACTTCTACAAAATAGCGGAAGTGGACCTTGCCACTGGCGAGTAAGAGGAAGAGTACCATTGACAGTCCGGTGACTAGGGCGTTTGTCAAAAAACCACGTTCAGTCCGAAGATACTCAAAACGGCATGTCGAAAATATAAACCAGAACGTCGAGACAACAGTTAATAGCACCAAGGCTTCATAGGAGGCTAGGCGATGCCAAACGTAGAGCTACAGTCAGGTAAGAGGTGCAGTATAACAGCATACGAGATAATCTGTATACCAAATATCACATATCTACATCAAAAATGTCATTGTTGCACGTCATGTATGGCATCATATCAATGCACAGAATGAACAGACACGCATATTCAGCATAGCCGATGAATTTATGAATATGAAATTCATTATGAATTATTAACCTCGAGCTGTCTAACAAATTAATTGATTTAATTAAATGAATCAGCTAAGACAGGAAATGTGATATTGTAGCAATAAGTATACATAGCAAATGCGAAAGAACTTCTAAAAGACAAACATTCGGCAAAATATTGACTTCGAATGATATTACAATCGTCAGATACGAGATGTTACAACTGAGAATATGTCTGACTCCACTGAAAAACAAGACCATCACAATTCAACTGAGTGAAGAAGCTAAACAGAGCAAGAATCCGATTGTTGGACCTAACGATGAATATAAAATTTGCTTTCAAAAACTTAGGTTTGTTACCCATAAATTTCGCTCACTTTATTCCTGAAATAACCGAAAATGAAAACTGTTTTCCTGCTATTTCATGGCATACTGTTCGCTAAGTTTAACGAAAACAAAAACAACTTACCAAAGAACTAGCAAAACAATTGATCGTCATACCTTGAAAGCAAATTTGAGCAAAACTATGAACACATAGTTCAATAGCATATTCACTTCACCGAAAGTGAAACTTCCGCGGAAACAGCGCAACAACCGTAAGCACAACGGAACCCAAAGAAACGAAGCGAAGAAGGTGAAAGCAACGGATATGATGAATACTAAAGATATAAAGCAGATTAGCATGACGCAAACCGCAAACTGAACTGAACATGGAGAGTTAATGAACTGAAAGTAAAATTGAAAAAGAAATATGATAGAACTCCGGAGTAATAAGTCCTCAGCCAGGATGAGAACGGACAAAGGTAAGAGACCATAGCGAAGCCTCAGTAAACCTTAGCCACCTGCCCCTCAAGGTATTGCCCTCATCGAATATTATACCGGCTCAGCAGTCGCCCG